GTCACACCTTTTGTATAAATTTGCATGCCCTGTGACTTATACAGCAAAGCAACTTATTTATGTTTTTTCCCCATATTTATAAACCACTTTTGGTCGAGTTTTGACAATTTCATTTTTTCTGATATGGAAAATATTGAATACTACAATTTTCAGCTACTAAAGGGTCCTCGACTAATATCGCAAGCCAAGTGTCTCATTATTAGGTAAAAGTGGCTTTTAATCAGACACTTGGCTTGACATACCAAACCACCTTCGTCTCGCTCTGGAATTCCTGTAGCAAACATCAAATCAGCTGCATTTCGCCGCACCGCCCAGGAGAAATGCAGCTGATTTGACCATTAAAGTGCATTTATTAAGTAAAATCTAAAAAAGTAAAATCTGGTTCTCTGGATATTCAAAAAACAACAAAACAAAGCAAAACAAGAAAAAAAATGTAGAAACGTTTCGTCTTTCATCCGAAAGACTTCCTCAGTCTGAGGTGATGTATTCAGCTCAGTCTTATAAATAGCACCTTCTCAGAGTGGATCAACCAGTTTGCTGCTGACAACCAAAACCAGCTGCTCACATGATCAAGAAGGACCATCAGCCTAAAGATGGATAATTAGCACCCTGAAGGCTGTTTACTATTCACAGAGGACTGAGTGACACTAACAATAACAACATTGTAAGAGGAGGACGGTTGAACACGTAGGCCTCCACCCCTGTTTAATGATGGACGATTTCCATTCACAAAGATGGCCTCCTTTACTCCTCTCTCAAACCATCGTTCCTCTCTATCCAGGATGTGAACATCTTCATCCCTGAAAGAGTGACCGCTGGCACGGAGATGAGTGTAGACCGCAGAGTCCTGGCCTGATGGTGTTGATCTTCTGTGCTGGGCCATCCTTTTGGCCAGTGGCTGTTTAGTTTCCCTGATGCAAGACTGATCACAGCCCTCTTGACACTAAACAGCATACACAATATTACTCTGTTTGTGCATGGGGACTGGATCTTTGGGATGAACCAGTATTTGCCATAATGTATACTAACAACGTGCCTAGATCAGACCACACTTCAGCAAGTGATGAACTTTAAAGATCAGGCACGCTTAGCACAACATGTCAAGTCCAAGACTCAGCAAAAAACAAGTTTAACTTACTAATAACTCATCAACACCATCACAATTCCAATAACAACACATTCAGTGTAAGACAACACTCCAGTAGTCAATTTACATGCCAGGGAGACAGAAAAGTGGGTGAAGAATTTTTCTGAAAGACAGCTCACCCAGCTGGAGACAGAGATTCTTGCCAGGGGACTGAACTTTGCAGTTGCACCAAGTAGAATTCCTCTGGTGGAGATGATCACAGCCACAGAATCAGCCATCCGCAACAACAAAGAACTTGGAGTCAAAGTTTCAGCCTGCCTCAGCAATGCCCAACCACCACCTCCCAACATCAGTAGAGAGGAGAGGTCAAATGGGGATGGGATGCACTCACCACTCTTAGCAAGGACAAAAACATCATCATTCTCCCAGCAGACAAAGGAAGGTGCACAGTGATTTTGACCCAGAAAGACTATCATGAGAAAGTTATGACACTCCTTAGTGACTTAACCACTTACGAACCTCTGAAAAGAGATCCAGGAAGTGGTTACAAGAAGAAGTTGATAGATTGCCTGAAAATTTTGGAACAGGACAAGACTATTGACCGTTTTCTGTACCACAAACTGTACCCAGGGGAGGCCACACCTAGTCTGTATGGTTTACCTAAAATCCACAAACAAGGTGCACCTTTAAGACCAATTGTTAGCATGATTAACTCTGTCACTTACAATGTTTCGAAATATCTGGTGTCTGTAATCATCCCTTTAGTTGGCAGCTCAGAACACCACATACAGAACACCATGGACTTTGTGGATAAGGTGAGGGATGTCATCATGGAGACTGATGAAGCAATGGTCTCTTTTGATGTCACATCACTCCTTACGTGCATTCTTGTTAATGATGCAGCAGAGGTGGTCAGATTAAGATTAATATCAGACACCACTCTGAGCAGCAGGACCACACTTTCCACAGAGCAACTGTGTCAACTCTTGAAACTGTGCCTACAGTCAACCTACTTCATATATGGGGGCCAATATTATAGGCCGAAACATGGGTGTGCTATGGGGTCTCCAGTTTCTCCTGTTGTTGCCAACATGTACATGGAGGAGGTAGAAAAGAGAGCCTTGACGTCCTTTTCAGGGACACCACCAAGTCATTGGTTCAGGTATGTTGACGACACCTGGGTTAAAATTAAATGTCAGGAAGTCCAACATTTTACTGACCACATCAACTCTGTGGATAAATACATCAAGTTCACACGAGAAGATGTAAAAAATGGCAGGTTGGCTTTCATGGACTGTGACGTCTCAGCCTCTGATAGAGGACATTTGCAAACCGAGGTGTACCGCAAACCCACCCACACAGACCAGTATTTGCAGTTTGACTCCCATCACCCTTTGGAGCACAAGTTAGGAGTCATCAGGGCTCTGTACCACAGAGCAGACAGCATCCCCACTAACTCAGGAGCCAGGCAGAAGGAGAAATCCTACACAAGACAGGCTCTAGAGCAATATAGATATCCTAACTGGGCCTTCCTGAAAGCAGAGAAGAAACCCAAACAGGACTCCAGTCAGCCATCAGGTGAAAAGGAGGAACCCAGACCCAGACCAATAGTCATTCCGTATGTTGAGGGAGTATCAGAGAAACTGAGATGTTTATTTTCTAAATATAATGTCCCAGTGGCTTTTAAACCCCAAAATACATTACGGCAAAGACTGGTTCATCCCAAAGATCCAGTCCCCCCGGCACAAACAGAGTAATGTTGTTTATGCTGTTCAGTGTCAGGAGGGCTGTGATCAGTCTTACATAGGGGAAAATAAACAGCCACTGGCCAAAAGGATGGCCCAGCACAGAAGAGCAACACCATCAGGCCAGGACTCTGCAGTCTACACTCATCTCTGGGCCAGCGGTCACTCTTTCAGGGATGAAGATGTTCACATCCTGGATAGAGAGGAACAATGGTCTGAGAAAGGAGTAAAGGAGGCCATCTTTGTGAAAAGAAACCGTCCATCATTAAACAGGGGCGGAGGCCTCCATGTTCAACCGTCCCCCTCTTACAATGCTGTTATTGCTATTATCACTCAGCCCTCTGTGAATAGCAAACAGCCATCAGTGTGCTAATGATCCATTGTTAGGCTGATGGTCCTCCTGTTTCAGAAAGCATGGCACAACAAGAAGTAGCACTAACCTTTTTCGTTTGTCTTTAATTTAATTTTTCTACCTAACACAGGAAGTTGTTAGCTCTGGAAGGAAGCTGTTAAACAGCTTTGGACACAAAGACCCTTGTCACACACTTCAAAAGAGCAGGGTAAGATACATAAAATCTTGTAATCTCTGCCTGGTGAGGCTGCTTAAATAATTATAAAATATGATTAGTGAAATAAATAAAGAAAAAGTGAGCTACTATAATTTATATTTGCAAATGTCACATCTTCTTGACCTAATTTCAATTGTAAATCTCTTCTTTTTGATAAAATATTTTTTTCTAAAAGAAAGGCCAACAAATTGTAATTTGTAGTCACTGTAACCCTATTTTGACTTTTGCACTTTCTTCTTTCAATTTTAGGTTACAAAAGGTGCTGAACCGGTCACTGAAGCTGTGGAGAGATGAGGTGGAACACCAGACCTGCAATGATCCAGGCTGTAAATGATGCTCTGAAGTCTGGTAAGATGCACGACATCCTGCTTCGCCGAAACAAGCTCATTACCTCAACCACATACACTGAACTTGAGGATGTTGTTCAATGTATAATAATGCCTTTAAGCAATTGTATTTGTTGAGTTTGCTTGCTTGGTACATTATTTTTCTTTTTTTCCTTTTTCTTTTTTTTGTTTAAGCAATTTAAAACATGACAGTAATGTCACTGTTTAAAGGAAACAATTGCTCAATAAATTAGTAAAATGCTAATTTTATTTGTTGTTTGGGTTCTTTCATCTAAGGTAGACAGGGTGTGACCCATGTACTGTTTTTGATTTTTTTTTAGTTTTTACTATAACTGACCTTCAGAAGAGCTAGAAACAAGGACTCAGCAGCTGATCTCTGTAGAAAAATTATATGGACTACAGGCCATGTATTATTTGTTTTATGAGATTTAGTGAAGGGTTTTGTTTGGATTAAGACAATAAATGTCTCTATTTCACCACAGATGAACTGCTCCTCTTGCCATATCTTTTGAAATAAAACTGCAGAACACAAAGTAATTTAAAAAGGAATGGGTAGAAGATTAAATGTAATTCAATGTATTTCCTAAAAATTAAATGAAGAGAAAAAAAAACAAGAGCAATACAGGAGTGGGAGTGATTCTGAACAGGAGCAGGACAGGAGCAAGAGTCATGTTACCAGGAGTGGGACAGGACAGGAGCAGGAGACATGTTACCAGGAGTGGGACAGGACAGGATTATTTTTCTTTACTCTGGACACGGATTGGGACAGGACAGGATTTTTTTTGTGGGACCAGGACAGGACAGGAGTGAAAATCTACTCCCATGTCATCCTCTACCGTCATCTGGCAAGCAAGAGTGCAGCGCAACATGCTGACTGTATGTGCAGCCTCTCATCATGAGAACAAGTCCCAACAAGTTTCATCAAACTCCTTGAAAAGTCTTAAGAGGAGATGACAAGAAAGCTGTTAACGGGTGTAAGACAGACAGACGAACAGACGATAAATGATGTAACTTCCTGTCATTCTGAAACTGTGTTTTTTAAACAAAACAAGGCAGCTCAGAAATCTTCTGCTCTGTGGGACAGTCCCAGTCAGGACCAGTATCACGTAAAGCTGAATCAGAACTGCACAAAACCCTTCTGCATCCTGAGAGCCCCGCTGCAGAGTTCAACAAGTTGTTCCTTTTTATATCAGATCTCTGATGAACTTGCTTCAGATTAATTTTAGGGTCATTTAAACATCTGGTCCTCTACCTCTGTGTGCATAACTCGTCTTCTCCTGCTTGTCCTCAGCAGACTCGTACACGTCGACATATGCTCGAGCAAGTCGCCACAGAAATTCTCTGTCGCCTCCATACTGCAGAACCAGAATCAGACTTGTGGTTAGAGTTCACAGAACACAAATTAGAACCTGCTGTATTTGTGGCTCTCCTGTTTACTGTCAAGTTCTGATCACTAAAGTAGAGCCTGACCGATATATCAGTAGGGCCGATAACTTTGGCCAATATAGGTGTTTAGGGACCTATCTATCGGTAATAATAGTCCCATAATCTACCGATATAAATCTAATATTCACCACTAAAATGCTGGAACTCTCAAGTCATGGCCGTTCACTTTAAGTTTCACTTTTGATGTTCAGCACAGATGGAGCAGGGAGCAATATTGGGTAGTGTATTTTGTTGAACAGAACATGGTCAGTTTATTTTAACTGATCTGTAAAATTAAAAAAACATCACAACAATAAATTATCTTCAATCCTCCAACCTGCTTGTCATTAGCTACATGCCTTTCAAGTTAGCAAGCTAACAATAGCGTGGGGATGCTGTCCTCACAACACGGGACTATGTGAAGCTAGACGGTGAACAAAATAAAAGTCCTCAGACAAGGTTTGCTCTCTTTTAACTGAAGATCTTTTATTTATTTAAACAGATAAATCACATTGAGCCTCGAAGACTCATTTACAAGTGACAACACTTGTAAATGAGTCTTTGAAGCTCAATGTGATTTATCTGTTTAAATAAAGGTTGAATGAATGAATGAAATTTATGAATGTGTAAAAAGACTAAAGTCAAGTCAAGTCATATTTATTTATAGAGCACAATTTAAAACGTCTCCTGAGGCACATTTAACCTATATGAGCTGTTTTCTCTTTTAGTTTCAGAAGCTTGTTTTACCAGAGAAAATATGTCAAAGACTGTTCTGTGGTGAGAGCACTCACTACCTCATGTGCTGCACATACAATATGATGAAGATCTGATGTCTCACTCTGATTGGAATTCAAACCCAAAACGTTTTAACAGTTTTTAGCATTAATTTACTTAAACTAATTATTAACTATGAACTTATTTATCACCTCATTTATGAAACTTACTCACATGATGAACTTATTACAGTCTTTGAACAAAAAGCAAAACAGTGGGACTAATTAAATCTGATTAGCTTAGCTTCATGATTGCTAACATCTGCGCTAAATAAAAAAGCCGCGTTCCATGCGCCATTTTCTTAGATTCTTGGAAGTGGACAAAGCTCAAAAATTTTCAGCCATTATATCAGTTATCAGCGGTCGTCTACCCCTCCCAATATCTACAGGTCCTTCTCAAAAAATTAGCATATTGTGATAAAGGTCATTATTTTCCATAATGTAATGATAAAAATGAAACTTTCATATATTTCAGATTCATTGCACACCAACTGAAATATTTCAGGTCTTTAATTGTTTTAATACTGATGATTATGGCATACAGCTCATGAAAACCCAAAATGCCTGTCCCAAAAAATTAGCACATTTCATCCCACCAATGAAAGACAAGTGTTTTTAATACAAAAACCGCCAACCTTCAAATAATCATGTTCAGTTATGCACTCAATACTTGGTCGGGAATCCTTGTGCATGAATGACTGCTTCAATGCGGCGTGGCATGGAGGCAATCAGCCTGTGGCACTGCTGAGGTGTTATGGAGGCCCAGGATGCTTCGATAGCGGCCTTAAGCTCATCCAGAGTGTTGGGTCTTGCGTCTCTCAACTTTCTCTTCACAATATCCCACAGGTTCTCTATGGGG